GTTTGTGAAATTATAGGAATTAAACCTAAAAAAATCCTAAATAATGGACTTTCTAATAGCTTTTTGTACGATATCGATATCACGTGACTAATATGCTTTTGCTAATTCAGCTGATTTTGACCTCCCATCATCATCATTATTATTATTATATTATTATTATTATTATTATTATTATTACATGCTTAGTTTAAAAATAAATCTGCAAGAAAACCTTTTTTAATAATATAGTTTTTATTAAACAAATAATTAATTCTCTTATTTGAGAGGAAATCTATTTATCATTAGAAAGAGTTAAACTATTTTGGAAGAAAGTGATTGAATGCAAGAACAAAGTCCATAAGTTCATTAAAGAACGGAAATGTTAAACCATTTTTGTGAAGTGCTAAACGTTACAGTTGAAAGATGGTTTGATTTGTTAAATATAGGTAGGTAGGCTTGTTTCTTTGTTTGTGGGAAAGAATTGGGAAAAGGGGACAAAAAATTTATCACTGCAACAAGTTGTACGGATTGGGGGGGCCCTAGGGGGGGCTTGCTGCAAAGAGAAAATTTAGTGAGAGATTCTGCGCAGAAGAGAAAATATGCATAAGGTGGCAGAGAGGGCCATGAGACGCAAAAAGACACAACACGTTCAGGACAAGATGCTTAAATATCCAGAGACATTTCTCCATCATTACCACCCTATTTCCAACCTGTTCACTCTCTACAGTAACTCTGATGTGATGCAATCTCCAAATCCAACAGATACACTCTAACTCATATCGAAAAATGCTTCTTGCAGCTTATACTTTTGCATTCCAACACCACAATCATACTATTTAAGCATATATTTTACATATATGACATCTAGGCTAATTATGTCAAACACACAATAACACATGTTTACAAAGTAAAGCAAACTTTGCTGTAGCTTGTAGATAATATATACACATAACACATTGTTACTATAAATGTGTTAAAATAAATAACAAGTGTGCAAGGTGGGTTATATTTTAAAAGTTTTACGTTTGTAAGCAAGCAAGCTACATGTTATTTATGTTATGCTACTATTGGCTAGGTAGATGGTACTGTTGCTGGTGCTATATGCATATGGGTTTTAACTAGTTTTTAGGGCTTTGTGTAGGGAAGAATAGGATAAGAGCTGAGTTCAGAGGTTGCATGGCTTGGATGCATGCTGGCGTGACAGTTTGAGCATTTTTCCATCTATAGGTACTTCTCTGTGTGGCTTTAATTTGAAGGCTGTGAGTTGTTATGGATGGAATAGACAGGTCATTCTCTATAGACTGCAAACAACAGCCTAGGATGCGTCCTGCATTAACATTTGCATTTTCCACTACCCTTCAAAATACTTTGACTTCCACTTCTACACTTTTGCATTTTCATCTAACCAACCCTATTTCATTTCATTCATTTCATATCCAACCCTGTCAAAAGGGTTGCAGGAGTTTCTTCATAGGATGCTGCTTAGATCTAGTCAACTCCATCTTCCAAATGTAAAACTGTTTTGTAATATGCTCTACCCTGGTTCTGTGGAAAATACATACTTACATTGTAATTCTATATATTATGATTGAATGATTTTTAATAGAAAAAGGAAAGTGATCCGATTTGGATGGTATTGCATAAACTTTAATGTATGCGTACTGGTTTGTACAAGTGGGTATCTAAAAAACCCTATGGTATTTATGGGGATAGTTGATATGGAGAGTGGTAGAGAGGAAAACAAAAAAGTGGTGGTTATAATTATGTTGAAGTACCTAAATTAAGACATTAATGATGTTCATAATGATAGATGTCACAATTGAATTCCGAAACGGTGATATGGTATGGTGGCATAGAGATATAGGGACATCCCCATTCCTCCAAATGGCCACCTGGGGTACCCTGTAGCAAGCAGCTGAAGTTTAACCACTGTGAGAAATTTAGCCTCAATTTCCAATGCTTTGGCACGTAATGCACATACATAGCTAGATAGATACATGGATGGACACATACCCTTTCTTTCTTCACTTCAGTGTCCTCCAACTCTAAACTTCCGCACTTTCTCATCATCCTTTTCCTTTTTCTTTAGGCCAAAATATCATGGAAATGTGGTAAAGCAAAAACGATGGGACCAGGTTGCTCTTAACAATGACCCTCCCCTTTTCTCCACAATGGGACGAACCTCCCTTTGCTTTTCCTTTTCGCCCATCATGCATTCACCACCCTCTTTCTCTCTCTCCCTTTACCTTCATTCATTTCCCACCCTCCCTCTTCTGTCTCAACAATTCCAACATTCCACCTTCTGTCCCTGCATCCCTCTGCAAATTACTACACTGCCATTACAATCTCTTAGAAAGATGTATGTAACTATTCAAATAACATAAAGGACTTATTTTTATATATTTAGTAAGCCAACCACGAAGGCTGAACAGATAATAGGTTAAGTAGGGTTAAAACCTCAGATTTGGAACCCATCATGTATACAAAGTAGTGAGTTATGAAGGTGGGGTATAGACAATGGCATAGGCATGGGAGGAAGGAAGGAGCAAAAAGACAATTGTTAGCTGACACTTTTGGGACGGTTCTGAAAAAAGAGACTGCGTTCCTGCGCTGCGGCTCGAGTTTGGAGACATCCATCCCCAACATCCTTATTTCCTCCACTTCACTCTCTTTCCAATTTTCATTCCTCTTCTAACAACTAACACCATTATTAATATTAATGTTGCGTTTCGTGGAAGACATCAAAATCATTTATAAGCCCTTGTTTCTAGCTCATTTTCTCTTTTGATGTACTGCAATTTTATTATTTTTAAGTCTTGGAAACAAGATTATCCCAAGAGAGAAAGTGAGCTTGTGTGTGAAAGTCGTAAAACTAAAATTTATGCAATTCTTTCAATTCATTATATATATATATAGTTGTTCATCTATCTCGTTATTATTTTCTCAAAGTCTCAATCTTTTTTTCTAATGTATTCTCTTTCAGACTTCATTAAATTGACCATTTTACTTAATTTTCAGGGGAATTATTATAGTATCCTCTACTTACTAGGTAAAGAGAGTGTTTTTAAATGTGATTATAGTGTTTTTAGGATCAAACTTATAGTAGACTATATATAATTAGTCATATACTTGTAACCAACTTGTTTAACTATGTTCTAGATATTTATTATTGATAAAAATCACAATAAAAGTGTTCACAATTTATCTAAAATATATTTTTTAATTGATTTTTGTATTGCTAAAAACATATTTAATTGTAGTTTAACTTTAATTGAGTGTGGTTTTTGAGTTCTGTATAAATCTTTGTAATTAGATTATGGACATAAGGAAAAAAAAAAAGGAAAAGGAAATTATAATATTTTATAGGAAAATGAATTTACTTGTAATGTTGGTATTGGGCCGGAATAATTAACAAATGAATACGCAAAATTGGGCTCATAAAGATCTTTGGGGGTCCAGTCCAGTTAAAAGCAACACTTCAGATTGTTCTTTTCAGTCACATCAACATTCTCTGCAGTATATTTTTTATCCTTAGCCATGGATGCATGCATGTTTTTACTTACATAGAATAAAGAAAATATTGTATTTCTTAAAAGTTTGAACAATTCATCAATGTGCTCTGTCCAAAACTAGCTTCATTTATAAAATAGTATTTTTGGGTAAATTCTTTAATCTTTAATAAATAGTTCTACTTTTAAAATATTAACTGGATGAAACATTTAATGTCCAAAATAAAATATTTAACCGCGAATTACACCATGGCACATTATTCTCTTGCCACATTTGATATCTCTCATGATAACTTTTTTTATTCCTTCTATTTTACATACTCATGAATCCAACTAATATGTTTCTGTTCTATAATCTATTACAGCGGAAACATGTTTCTGTTTGTTTCTGTTCTTATTAACAACAAATAATAAGGAACATGTTCCTGTTAGGCATTAAGATTTCATAGGAGGGTAATTTCGTAAAAAGACTAAACTAAAGTAAAGTCTTGTACTTAACAGTATCATGGGGTGACATTAAGAAAGCACAAAAGTTACAACAACTTTTTAATTCCTTTTAAGTTTGCAAATTACATGCTTCCTTTTGCAGGTCGAATTAATGATTTGTTTGACAAATATTAATGTAGTACAAATACACGAAACATTCTTTACCAAACACAACAAAATAATGCAATTTGATAAAAGTAAGATTGGAATGAAAAAAGAAAAGAAGAAGAAGAAAAAAGGACATGAATGCTGGCATTTTTGTTTAATAATGAAGCCAATCCCAGTTGGGGGCACGTGACCCCACAAATGGATCTAAACTTTGATGGGGTTATACGAAGGGATATGATATAATGGACCCAAGCCTAGGGTAGGAGGAGAAGCCCCTCCACATCAGACCCTCCCACCCATGACTATTATACCTAAAAGGGTCCCACATAATCAAACAGTGCCCTATGATATAGGGCCCCACCCTTTGTGACACGTCATGTCACAATCTCTCTCTAACTTCCTCTGTCTTCGTGAGTCATGACAGGTCCAAAGATTCCATGTTGCAACCTCATTGCTCGCCTAAATTAGGCCAACCGTTGAACCCCGCGTATACTCTCTCTCTCTCTCTCTCTCTTCTCAACTGCATTCCTCCTTCACATCTCTGAGATGGTGGGAGAGAGACCCTAGAGAAATTTGATCCACCTCCTTCTCTGGGTCTGATCCCTATTCTCTCCCCAGATTCACCCACCCTTTTCTTTCAATTTTTCAAAACTGAACGCATTTTTTCCTTGTTAATTTCTGGGGGGCCCGAACCGCAAAAACCCTAGAGAGCGCCGATTTGGGGATACGTTTACACCTCCGACGAAGAACTAGAAAGCGAAAATTTTGCGCCCGATCAAGTTCACTTGGAAGGTTCTAGATTCAGAGGGGTCGCTTGATTTCATCGGATAATCCCTTACGCGAAAGGGGGTAGATGCGGACAAATACCCCCTGAAAACTAGAAGCCCTAATCGAGATTCGTATCGTTCTTCAAAATCCATGGGTTCAACGTTCTCGCCCTCTCGTTTCTTGATTTTCAGTATTTCCATTAGCTTTTACGCGTTTATTGTCCAGTCCCAAACAGAAAATGGGAAGAATGGAGCCGAATCAGCATCACCGGCATTTATGGTGTCGAGTCCCCCACCGCCGCCGCCTCCTCCACCACCGCCACCTCCTCCACCGTCTACTCCGCCGCCACCATCTCATCATGAGACACTTTCAGCTGCTTCACCGCCGGGATCGCCGCTTTCCCTTCCTGACAATATCAGAGCGTCACCGCCGTTCCGTCACCCTGGACGCCACCGCCGCCACCGCGTGCGCGCGCCGCCTCCGCCGCCCAAGATGAATGCCGGGAAAAAGGTTGGACTTTTGTTTGCGGGCATTGCGGCAATCATGCAAGTTGCAATGTTTGGGTTCTTGATGATTAAGAGAAGGCAACTTATGAACAGCGATGACGACAGATACGAGAATTGTTCTTGAAAGAGATTTTCCTCTGTTTTCTTATAAATTCATTTTTTTTTTATAATTTTATGGGTTGAAATTCTTTGCTGAACGCGTAATGGTTGGGGGGGGAGGGGAATGTTGGTTGGATTCTATAGAATCTGATGGAAGGAACATGAAAAAGGCAAGCACGGAAAGACACCACGGATTTTAGAAATCATTGGAACATGAATTGTGTGCAATTGATGCCATCATTTCGGCCCTTGGCGTTACTGTGTATATTGGTACTGCTAGTTCACGTTTCGTGCTGTGTTGCCCCTTTTCCTTTAGTTCCATTACATTGGCTTTATAATGGGAACAAAAAGTAGCCCTCATGTACTTTTTTTTTACTAATTTGATTTTTTTTCTAACATGTTCAGTGTACAATGATGTTAGGAATCTTAAAAGGATTAACAATGACACAATCTTATATTCTTGGGTTCTTCTCCTCCAAGTAGTGTTTGATTGTTGGATGTTCTTAAATTCTTATTGCCTTCTGTCCAGAGTTCTCTAGTAGTACAGTAGAGCTGTTGTGATTTGTCATTGTAGTGTCAAATAGAAATATAGAATATTTTTTCTAATGTTTTGCACACCCTAAAACGGTCACCCTTTTTCTTCTTTTTGTTGATAGAGATGATGTTCTGCTTTGCCATCTTTAATGGAGACATTATAGCATGTTCAGGTTTCACATCTTGAATGTGATTTTAAGAAGCTAATAATTGTAGCTTCTACATTCTAAACATGATTTCTTACTTAACGTACTTTTAAACTTGCTTTGAATTGAACCTTAATTTGGTGGAAACCTCCCAAATGTAGTATTATGTCTCGAAGAGGTTAACAGTATGATTCTAGAATTGTGCCTTTGAAGACTGCCATTTATAGTGATAACCTGTCTAGGCAATGTACAGAATGGTGCTTAACTAACTAGGGATAACCTCTGTCCAGACATTATACAGAATGTTGCTCTTAGATGCCACATATCAAGCAAGTTTATAAACTCGCTAGTTAATCATTTATAGGATAGTTGATACAGAAACTTGTGACATTGTTTTATTACCTACTATAGTTGGTAGGAAAAGGATTAGTGGTTGGTTGCTGTTTTGAAGAGTTTTATAGAAAGAGGACTAATTAATGATTTAGATTGGTGCTATCATTTACTAAATCTTCTATATTCTTAGAACCAGTTGCCAGTATTCTGTTTATTTGATTTTTCTCTGCGTTCCTGACAGGTCTTAATAAATGAATCACATTAAGGGATTTAGAAGTTGGTAAACTGTATATGACATCTAATAGCAACATTCTGTATATTGTCTAGTCAAGTTATCCTTAATTAAGTCGTCAGACATAATAGGGTGGTGAGTGTTGAAGATGGCACATTAAAAATGTCCGAGTGTTGTCATTGTCACAGAACGTTGATCCTCAATAAATTTGCAAATCCCGGTTCACCCTCGGATTTGTTCAACTTTTGTAAGAATGCTCTTAATTATTTTTTATTGCAGAAATATTGATTATACTGATAATTGGTCTGGGTGCACATGGTTATGCATGATTTGATGAAGTCAAGAACACTTCATAAAACAGAACTAAAACAGAAGAGTTAAGTCATCTCCATTTACATAACATTAAGAGGATCCAAACTATTCAGCGACTGAGAATTATGCCATGCTGGATTTACCTCGTGAGAGTGATCTCGTACTATGATCCAAACGCTTTGTTTTTATTTTCCAAAATGTGTAGTCAAATAAGTCTAACTGGAGTGTCAAACTTATTTCTAATTATCTGGTTAACTAGTTAGTATGTTTGGAAATTCATTGAAAAAAAAAAAGAAAAAATGTTGAGATGTGTAATTATAAGTCAGTTTCTGAAAACCAAATCTGAAACGTAAAAGAATATTGACCATGTAGATGTTATTCTTTGCCAACTAGATCAATAATCAGCAGGAAATGCAATATGAAAAAGAAGCATATTTTAATTTTGTTTTCTGAGATTTATTTGTTATGGTGGGTGTTATGATAGTTAGGTTTAGAGTTTGTTGTTGACGGAACATAAATTGAGTTGGTGGATTGGTATATAATTCCTATTATTATGGTTCAACTTGGTAACCATATTTATGACATTAATGCACTTACAAAATTAGAAAAAGTTGGAAGGGTTTTCAACGTTCCGGAATAAATTCTTGGCTAGTTGTTGGGGTCACCTACGCAAAAAAACCTACCAATACAACAATGCGTTACTTAATCGTGATTTTCTCTACGATTTCAGAAATGTGAAGTGTCACATATATTATTTAAAAAATGTGATTTTTTTTTAAATTCACTTTGATTTTGATGATTTATCATAATCATATACATCATATAATTATAAGTAAGATGAATCCAAAACAATAATTTCAAATATTTACTATATATAATCAAATATATTTAATAAAAGACAGAAAAATATTTGTGAATTCAAAAAAATGGTTTAATGTCATATATAAATTTTAGCGATATTTTATTAACACATATTATAATAATTAAATAATTTTCTATAAATATTTAAAAAAATATCAGGTGTAACTTTTAACTTCAAATATAACTTTGGTTAACTTGAACCTAACTTCCAAACTTAATTTTAATGCTTATTCTTGATCCCAGGTTATTATCAAGAGTTTTATTATCATTTCTGAACGTATATTTTCAACATACACATATTACATCAGAAAACTTTATATAACAACGCATGTGTTTGCATTAATTGCTAATAAATCTTTTAAGTGTTACTTTAATGTATTTTATTATATATATATAAAAGAGATTTATTTCTTGAATTTTTGTTCTGAATTTTACTTTGATAGATATTTTTTAATATGATAATTATTATATAACTAACTTTTTAAATTTATATTAATTTTTATTATTGTAAAAAAGTGATCCATTAATATAATATCTTTATTCGAATGCACAATTTATCATTTTTCTTCGACACTCCATATTACTTCTGCAGGTTTGATTATTGTTTACAAACTTCTTCTTTATGAATATTTATCATAGATAGATATAAAAACATAAAGAATTTATTGTTTTAATAAGGTAAAATTAGTTTATGAATAAATAAAAAAATAAAAAATTAGAAAAATTACACAAGAAAAATTTAAAAATTAATTTATATATGAGTTATTTTTAACTAATAAAAAATTAATTTTAAGGTTTATCTCTTCGAAATATTAATTGAAAAATTCTTTTAAATAGAACTTTTTTCCATTAATTTTTTTTATTATATTCATGTTGATACTGACACACTTATAATAATTCATAAACTATTTTTATGATATTATATTTATGGTTATGTTTTTCTATCTTGTTTGTGATATTTTAATGTATACTTTTTTTTTTTCAATAACGTATCCAATTGGACTCCAATGTCACAAAACTCAAAGCCCAAACCCAAGAATCAGTAAGAAGACAACAACTCCAGATTTTAGTATAATCATGTGACTAACTCTCTTAGACTTCAAACCAAACACTTTGAATATAATCAGTTTCAATCCATTTTTTCAATCATAATATTTGAAAATGAAATTTCATTTTAAATATTCAAATTTAATTTTACTCATAAGAAGAATAGGGCACCAATTTCTCTAGTCTCTGTTTACCAGTTTTTTTTTTAAATAAATGAAAAAGTAACCCATTATTGTTATGGCACACTAGAAATATAAAGTGTTGTTCACTTTTTTCTTTTTGACCAAATATACATTTAATATTGTTTCTTTTTTTAAACCACTATTGCAATGGATTTGTGACACTCTCTCAATAGAGGTACCTAACCTAATTATAGATATTATAGCCTTTTATGTGTATGATAAATAAAATAATCGATGCACATGTTGGCTTACATGTGTTGACAACTTTGTAATATTTTCAAAATAAATTGACTCAAATAAAATAATCATGTTAAGTGTCAAAATTAAATAACTTTAATTTCAAAATGAAAACTTCTAAACTCATTTGTAAAATATCATTCTTAATTAACATGCCATTTTTTTAGTATAATGGGTTTGATACTTTAAACTTTAAATTTAATATTTGTGAATAGAAAAAATATATAATTAAAAGAAAAGACATATCATAAAAATTAGTTATTAATACATTAATATCATTGTAAAAAAATCCAATTGTTTCTAATAGTAAAAATATAATTTCATTAAAAAAAACTATATTTTGTATAATTTTTAAATCGATGTTTACCCCTCTCATGTTTTGATTAAATAAAACTCACTTCTCTCATGGTCATAAATTCGATTTTTTTTTTTGAATTAGATATTTACAACATATCAACCATTTTTCTTTATGAATGTTATTTCATATACTACTCTCATAATCAGTTAAAAAAAATTCTCAACCCTCGCAAAATACCATATTTTGATTTGTATTTGTATGAAGAAAGTTGTAATAAATGAAACAAAACAAAAACAAGGGAATATGTTGTTTCCTCTCTTTGTATGAAATTCTTAAAGGTTATCAAAGTGATTGATTTGAGCTTTCACGTTTGAAAAGCACTTGTTGCTTTAAAAATAACGTACATATTAGAATGCTCTTTTGAGGGGACTTTAGCACCAACATAACATGCCACGCATTCATCATTTGCTCTCTTAATTCCACCCCATGCTTTCTTCTCTTTCAATCTTTTCACTTATAATTTCTCTTTATCCAACCATTTTCATGCCAATGTTTGTGTTTCTGTGGTTTCTTCGGGTACAAATAATGGTATAAAGTAACAATTCCACACAGAACATAGTACACATAATATATATATATTATTTTTGCACATTACTTATTTATATTTACTTTTTTCTCTTGTCCTTTTTTGTACCCTCAAATCTACCCTAAGATGGAATAAACACTTCACACTGTGCTCAACTAAAGTCATTTCAAATATTAATAAATTACTTATTTTTTATTCTTATTAATTAAAGGTTATTTACATTATTTTTAGTTATTTGAGAACTTACCAATCATTTTTTTCTTATTTTTCAGGAAAGTTTTAAATTACATTATATTAATTTTGAGAAAATATTTAATATGATTATTATGCCATTATTTATGAATCTAAATATAATCGAGTGAAATGGATTGTAACATTTTCTTTATAGAGTTTACCTTCCTTTTAAGGATGTAACGGGTAAACCTTAAAATGTATGATAAAGGGAAATTTCAGTTTATGCATTATATAAGCAAAAAAATTATTTTACATGATTGAAATTTTTTAATAAAAAAATATCATTGAATATTAATGATATTTTAGATATGCATAAATGATTAATTAATATAATATTACTTTGAAAACTAACAGTGTTTAAAGAGAAAAAAATAAAACGGAATAAATTGAAAATGAAAAAGTTTAAAACATCAACTATAGAGATAAAAATAAGAAAGGATAACGTAACAGTTGAGAGATGGTTATTTTGGTTAAATTAAATATCTCACAAATTCTAAAATTAATAAATGAAATAGTTTTAATAATGGTATGTTTGGATAGGCATAAATGGATCTGAAATTCCTCTCTGGTTCTGCTTTGACACGAATGTTCTGGTATTGAATGGAAAAACAAAAACGTTGTGTATGAATTCAAAATTGAATTGAATGACAGAAACTCAATATTTACAGTTTCGAAGACATTGGATTGGATTAGTTGATTTTGGGTTTGAAAACTCTCGCTGGCATGCCTTCAATTATTGATTCACCTAACAAATCAGACGACCATTTTGACAAAATCATTTTCCCTTGGAATATATCCCAAATGAAATAAAGTTGGGGCAGGAGAGAACTGTAATTTGGAAATAAGTTAAGACCCCTATGGGAAGGGAATAATATGTAGTACAATTGGCACATAGTACTCTTTTGTAGTTTTCCTGTGACTTACTTTTCCTTCTTTAAGAACTTTGAACAACTCCAACATTGCAATTGCAAGCACTTTTATTTTACATCCTACATTGTGTTAGAGCATTTAACTTGATTTTAGGTTTGGTTATGAATAATGGTTGAGGTTAGAATGTCAGATTGATGAAACTAAGATTCAATGAAAGAAATGATGAAAAGTATGAAAGCCTGATATAAATATGCAGTATCAATGGCCTAGTCCATGAGCTGAGTTAGAGAGAATTTGGTTTTTGTTGTTGTTGGAAAGTGTCCCTCCCTACTAATCTTATTAGTGGTGGTGAGATATGCAAATATTCATTGCACATGTTCCCTACTACTGGGTCCATGCACATAACAAGGTTCAGAAGAAACACAAACATCAGAGCTTATTTGAATTGTCCTTGCTACCACCCATTATAAAGCAGACTGCAGAGCAACTTAATATGCTTTCCAGTCAAACAACATAGTGTGCAAATCTGAGACATGTTTTTTTTTTTTTAACTTTTCTTCAAGGGGAAGAAAGAAGCATATATTATTAATATCTAGCAAAGCAAAGACACAAATCCTAATGTGGTCCCCCACTTAACACAATAACATCACACCTTTTGTAAAAGAAAATCACCCCAGCCACAAAAAACTGATCTTTATCAATGAGTCTCTCTCTCTCTCTTGGCCGTATCCACCAGCTCATATCAATTGAAAAAACATCATTCATCTGCCAAGGATAAAGGATACTACATAAGTACAAATAATTTTATAGGTAAGCATGAAATGGTATATTAAAAAGAGTATGATAATGAGAGTAGGGAAGCAGCAGGATCATTATTACCGGCTGGGATTCTGGAGTTGGAAGCAAGATCTAGCCAGGAATCTGTGTTCTTTGGTGGCCACTCCCCAAAGAAACGGTGAAGGGGTCTCTGGCTTGTTGTCTCAGCTTCTTTCTCTTTGCTTGGTCTTGTTGATTTAAAGTCAGTACCCAAAACAAAGCAGTGTTGTTGCTCTTGCTGTCTTGGGTTGGTGGCATCATTGATGTTTTGAAAGTTGGAGTTTGAATAGGACTTGTAGGAGCTCATTGATAGTTGTTGATACGAGTCAGTATAGCTCCTAGCTGATCCCGAAGCTTCTGGGAAGAAAGCTCTCTCATCCACATCTTCCCTTATTCCATGAACATGCCTGTTTTCAATAATCATCAAGTAGATTACATCATAACAATCAACAACAACAATAAATTTTATCCCATAGATGAGATCGGCTACATGAATCAGCCATCTATCCACTCATTTAAAGATCAAAATAACAAGATACAAAAACTAAGTAGTCTTTCTTTAAAAACATACCTATAATCCTTTTCATCGTGAGAATAAGACCCAGAGTCCATGAATAGCTGGTGGGTAGTGGCATCTTGAGGTGGAAAATCAGAATCTGGGGGTCTAGAGGAGGTTGATTGGGCGTAGAAGAAAGGATTGAGAGAAGGGTTTTGGTAGGATTGGGAAAAGGGTTGGGACTCACAGGGCATAGAAGATGGCAAAGGAGAGAAAGGGAAGGAGGGTGAGGTTATGGTGGGGTTGGTCAAGGAAAGGTTTCTGCTATAAGATGGGATTGTTTGGGAGGTGTTTGTGGCGGTGCTTGTTGCTGAAGAAACTTCCACAGGCTTTCTTGAACGGTTTCTGCCTCTGTGCATGTGTCTTTCACAGTACTTGGAGTCTGGATATGCTTCCTTTGAACATCTCCATTTCTTGCCATCTGTTCTTCTGCACCTTCCTGGCTCTGGGTCTACTTTTCTGCCAAATCCCATTTCAAAACATCCCCACCCAACTGCAGCCAGAGTTATGACAACAAACCAGGCTCTAAATTTTATTTGTCCCTCATAAAAAGTAGACATATAATAATAACCACTAGTGTATTATTTTTTTAAAAAAGAAATTATCCATGGGCTTTAAACGATAAGCAAAACTGCAAAAGACTTACTTGGATGGTGTGGAAAGAGTCTTGAAGAAATTGAAGAGTCTAGACTTCTTTTAATAGAGTAGATGAGATCTGGTGGGATAGGTGTTCCTGTGACCATGTATTTGAAAACAAGAGCTTGTTGCTCAAGTTCTTGCCACTGAGTTGGTGTGAAAGGAGACCTATTTCTTGCACTTGCACTTGCACTTGCACTCATCATTCTTAGACAAATAGAAGGGAGAGTGTGTGTTTATCTGAATAGTGGTGAAGTGAAGAAGAGGAAGATATAGGATTTGAAAGAATGAAGTAAAGAGTTTAATTTTCTGTAGGTGGGGTGATAGTAATTTTTTTGTTGGGAGGGGGGGTAGGGGCTGAAGGGTAGCAGATTCTTCTCCTGTGCATGGATAATACTAATGGCTCTGATAGTCTGATGATGCTTCTGGCTTTCTGCCACCTCCTCTCTATTTCTCTAATGTGCTGGATGGGTGAGTGAGTGAGTCTGCTCTTATAATGACTGCACCTCTGTTGCTTCTGTTTTTTTCTCTGCAGCTGCCTTTGTCTCTGACATCTTTACAGAAATCCATAAACAAATGTACAAAGGAAAGAAGAAAAATTAAATTCAAATGCATGTTAGTCCATGCACCTTTGGTTTTGCTGTCTCCACATCATCACTCATGGAAAACAGTGCCATCCATCCGATTATGTGAAGTGTAAGCTGCCGAGCAATAGTTGCTGTGCCTATATCAATCTCTTGTTTTGCAATCCGAGGGAGGTCATGGCATGGTAACTTTTTGAATAAGAGAAAGTCTCGTACGTGTCGTTTTTAATCTTTTTTGGCTTAACCATGCGTGGCGTTATCTCATTGATAGATTTGGAGGCCAAGGCTAGAGCTGAATCCTGCTTTTTTTGGCCACGGATTGATGCTTTCTCCTTTTTCACATGTTCTCCCACCCCCCAAACCCAAGCATCTCACTTTTCATCACTCCATTTTGGGTTACATTACAGTCAATTTCCCCTCTAAAACCCTTTACTTCTTTCCTCCTTAATCATTTCCATAACCCCCACCATCACCAAACTTTATGTTAATTAAAAAAAACACAAAACTGCAATACACTTTTTTCATGTTTGCCTGTCTAATAAGAATTAGAGCCTAGATACACCTCCAACAATGTGTTTGAGGATGAGAAACTCAATCACAGCAGCAACATCATAGAAAACTGAATCAATTCTGTATTACTTGTCTTCAATAAGAAAAATTTCAACTAAACCAAACACACTGTAATTGTGGTTGAAAAACAGCAGTAAAAACACTAAGAACTGTTTGTGGAATTAAAAATTGTCATGAAAGTGTGAAGTTTAAAAACTTCACACTCCCAACTTTGTGGTAACTACCAAGTGAAAGTATGAGATACATGACAAATTTCCAATCTCAAAAAACATGAGGATGGCAGGAAGGGAAAGGATGAAAGAACTTTTTTTTACTTTATGATATTTTGTTTTGTGGTGTTGGTATTGAAAAATATATTAACTTTTTGAAGTTAACTGATGCCGGTTGGGACAGTGCAAGTAAAAGACTATCGGGTAGAAGGAGGTTCGGAGTTGTTTGCTTGCAATTGAAAGCACTTGTCTTTCTCTCTCTCTGCCTAGCGCGTTGGCACTTAGGAGGTGTCAGGAAAGTGCACTCTGAGGTTAAAACTGTTCACACTCTGTTGCTCTGCCCCAAAACACATGCTCCCCCCTCCTTTATTTTCACACACCTAACTGACCCTTTCATTCATTAACCCAAAAATTTCCTCAATTACATTTCTATTCAGCCCTCCTCTTTCCATTTTTGTGATTTCTGGGCTGTTTCCTGCCTGACTTGGTGCAGCCTTCAAAATATCACCTGGGATGGGAGCCTCTTTCCCTTTGACTGGATGGAATCATATCAGACTATACTACCCTATGCTATGCATTTCATCTTCACTTCCATAATTTTCTTTGCTTACCATCATGCATTGCATGTATTATGTATCAACCACTTCTGGATCTTCCAACACAACTCTCATTGTTCATCATTATCTCCATAACTCCTTCCTGCTCTTTTCTTTACCTACCTCAGATCTCAATCACAAAGTTTGCATCACAAAAACAATTGCACAATGTTCATTTCTGTTTTCAAAATAAACTATTAGATGACAGATACATTCTATCACATTCTAAAACTCTAAGGGTCGTGGCTAAAATCAATTTAAACTAAAATTTGAACACTTTAAATTGAATTTGCTTTTAAACTGTAAACATGTTTATGTTTTTTTTAGCAGAATGATATGTTGTGTTTACAGCCACAATTGATGTGGCAACATCAAATTTTTGTGTGATCATTGCATCACAGCTGCAATAGTTGCATTATTTTCACAATTTCAGAGATGGAGACATCACCATAATTTAATAATGTTGTATCAATAATGGGTTCTTTTCAATGATAAAAGAAACTATATAAACTTGTAGCACATCCTTTGGAGGTCAATCAAGTTCTTTTCTAACCGCCATTTGAGGAAAGAAAATTTATCTTCTATCCTTTGACCTTATCTCATAAGGTGCGAAATTTTAGATTTGGCTATGAAATTTATCTTAAAATCCAATGTATAAAACAAACAATTCAAATCCATTTTAACCACAGGAAATTCGACACGTGCCATAAATTGAACATGCAGAGTAATAATTGCAAAAAAATTCTTTATCAATGTTAATAAAAAAGGGGAAAAAATTATGTTGTACAATTTGCAGTTGTTCTCATTCCCCTGTATTTTTCCCTTCAAACTCTATCTTTATTCCATTCGGTATTAGTCATCTAACTTGGAACTTTTAATAAATATTTGACTCTAGAAAAAAATGACATGTCTATTTTCAAGGTCTTAACTTCTGGATTCTTGTTTGCACCTACCAATGCATGTTTCTTATTATTTTACCCTCACCCATAGGTAAAAAAAAATTATTTACTTTACATGTTACTATCTATTGAACTATTTAAATTTAGTTTAATTTTTCCAAGAAATATGTACTAGTTACATGTTTTGTTTTTTGTTCCCCATCCTTAGCCACAAGAAGATTTTAGAGAATAGATTTCACATTGAGTGGTTTGAATATAAGAATCCAAGAGTGACCCACTCCTTAGTCTTAGTTGCTCTTGCCTCTTTGTTTACATCTATGGATCTTATCATCATTACAGGCCTCATAAGAGGAAAATGTTTCCTCTTCTCAACACAACTTTTCTTTCTCATCACTATTTCTTCTCTCCCATGCAATGTTCCTCTTTAACTTCTTGATTTTAAAGTTGAATCACTTTGTTACAATTTTGTTTTAAGGAAACATATACATGTGTTAAGAGATGATTTTCATAAATTATTCTTCTTCTTAATTTTTTTAAGAAAAATAACATATTAAATAAATAAAAATGGTACTAGACCCACTTTAAAAATCTTGCCTTTCTTCAATAAAAAAGTTTAAATTATGAGACTTTTCTTTCCCTGCTCTAATCTTGAGTCATTCTCTCTCTTTTCTCCTCACTGCTCTCATTATTAAAAATAAAAATACTAAACTAATAGCGAAATAAAAAAGTTTGAGATAAATATGTATTAATTTTTAAGTAGAAAAAGTAAAAGAAAAAACGCATACAAATTTAACTTGGTATAGTATTGATGAGATGTTTATTTATATATAATACTAATCATAATGCTGCAATATATTTTTGTTGAAAATAATACAAATAAAAATAAAATTTAATTTTTAAAGCTATTTTTTAGTAGTAAATAATACTTTTATTTTTAATTTAAATTTCAAACTTTATTGCTTTCTCTTGGATTTAAAGGTTTAAGCCTAACCTGCAGACAGAATTCTGACTTTCACCTAAACTCAGCCAGTAGAGTACACGGTACATTATAATTTATGAATCACAAAAACATAAACATGTTTCACAATGAGATATGAGGTGAAAAAAAGAAAAAGAAAAAAAAAAAGACAAAAGAGAAGTATTCCATTATAGATATGATTTTAACACAAATTTGATTTCCTTATTTATTTTTGTTTATGCAGGGCCCAGCTTCATCTGTTTTGTGGGTAGAAAAACATGCAGGATTCTAAAAATATCATTACTTTAGATAACCATAATAATCTTGTTGGATTTCCTAACCCTATAATAAATTTGTATTTGTACTCTTTTGTTGCTCAGCGATGTACCTAGGACATCATATTTAGGGTTGTCAGAAGTCATTCTCAAAATATCATTCTTTATATTACATCACCATAACCTTAATATTAGACTTGTTTAGTTAATTATTATATCTTGGTGCGTGGATACATATGTTGTCTAATATGTTTAAAAATTACAACTTTCGTAAATTTTCATCTTACTTTTCTATATTTTTCTATATCTTTTCTCTCTAATTTAATCTAAATTAGAGCTTATAAAGAAGAATCTCTTTCTTTAAATAAAAATAAAAATTAGAGAAGTTGTGTTCATTTTATAACTTTAAGAATAAATTGTTTTTATAAATAAAGTAAAAATGTGTTTTCAAATATACAACTTTATTTTAGGTTTTAAAATAATAGAAGTCGTTCTTTGAAACAAAATTTCTATTTCTTTATAAATAAAAAGTTAAGTCATGTCCGAATGCATAATGTTTTTTTTAGGAAATGATGTTTTAAAAACAATTTATTTATACCCTGTAATTTAAAATTTTCATTAAGAAAACTGTCCGTATATCAGTAATAAAAACTGACTAAGAATCGAAATTTAGAAATAAAATATATTTAATTATTATTTTGACTAAATTAAAATTATTTTAGCAAAATTGATATCTGATCTTAATTATTAAAATCACTAATTGAAAATATAATTTAAAATATACTTTTCAAAAAATAATTTAATTAAAATATTTTTTAATTTAATTATTTTCTCTTCCTTTTGTTTGCGCTTCAGATTGTTTATATCAAGATTGATGGTTGAATTATGTTTTAAAAAATTGTGATCGTGTCTTTTTTAATTTTCTTTAAACGAGTTTACCGTAAAATAATTTTTCTACAAAATGGTTTCTTTAATTAATTTTCCCCTTCATTTGGTTGTTCAAACGTGAGGCTTTTAAGAAGAAAATCATCGTTAAGAAATCTTAATGTAAATGGATATTTTAGGAAATTAACTTTTTTTTTTATATTAATAATTAATACCTTCAACCTTTTTCCATATTCAAATCTTGCACACTTTATATACATCACTTCCTCCACCTTTTTTCTTTTCTATATATCCAACTTTCTGGTTCATATTCAACTCTAGCAGATCCTCAATTTCTATATTCTAAATTCATGCATTTTTTTTATTCAACTCACACAAAACCATTCATTTTACTTTGTGTTATTATTTAGTTTTTTTTTATATATATATATATTTTCAAATTAATTCTCATTTACTTTTTCTATGTAAGAATACAATATTTATTCTAATATTATCGAAAATAAATATTCACATAATCTATAAACTAATTAGATAAGAAAGATCTTACTCAACCATTAATTGTAGTACTTTACAAGCTAATGTGAGACAACAATCTTAATATCTCAATATGTCGAATATATTCATAAAGATGTATAGTATTAGATATGTTTATTCATTGTTGCCTCAAACCAAAATCTTTCAGCCAAAGTTTGAAAAATCTGTCGATGTATTTGAAGTGTTTGAGGCCATAATTTTAAATACATCAGCAGAATTCTTTTACAATATCAGAAAACAAAACAAAATAGCAATTTAAAAACTTGATGCCAGGAATTGTTTCCACAAACATTAAGGATGTTCCATGCATCCATTAAAGCCAAGCCTGACAAAAAGGACTAATCATTCGATAGTCATGTAGTAGTATTTTTTTTTTCTTGTCCACATAGTTTTGGTTTACGTAGGAAGTTAACTTTTGTCCCTATTTTTTTAAGCAACAAGAAACATTGTATCATGGTAACTTGTTTGCGGTTTCACCAGTGTCTTGCAATTTTCACCAGAGGTTTTGTACTTGTATACATGCGTTCCAGTGAAATGCCTCACTATTCTTTCCTCTTTGGTTTTCCTCTTGAAAAGAATTTGAGGGACAGCAAGGAAACTGTTAGAAACAGTGAAACTGTGGAATCTATTGGAAGACAGATACTATACGCTTCAGTGTGAGGAAGATCCATCATTCACTTTGCATGGTTAGATTTATAGCCAAGTCGTTGTCCAATAAAAGTCCAAAGGAATCCAGGAAAAAAAAAAAAAATCTCGTTCACAGTGGCAGGTTGGAGTGAATAGTGAAAAAGAAACTTCAGTAAACATCGCTCTGAGATTCTGCTTTCCATGTATCAGAAGATCTTAATCTTGCAGTGATTTGTTCACTTCTACCCTGTCTTCATAGAACCCTGCACATAAAATCTCACATAATTTAATATAACAATTTTCGGTCTTTAATAAACAGTTTAAAATATATATATAAAAAAAAACACCAAACAACTTAAGATACACTAGTTCTTTTGATTTTGATATGATACCAACGATTCTCTCAGTTGTTAGTTTATAATTAAAGACATGTTTAATAAATTTCTTCATCGTAAGAAGAAAGAATTTAAAAAGTGAAATAAATCAAATTTACAAGTTAAAATTAATTTTTACATAAACAAAAGAAAAGTTTTGAAGAAATTAATGTAAAAAAAATCTATAAACAAATTATGCGACTTTGAATTTTTTTTTAAATATTTATAAAAAAGTTTATCTAAATCAATCTTCTTCGGAATGTAAAACCTTACTTCATGCCAAAAGCTAACGTCACAAAGAACAAAACTGGCAATGGAAACTTTCTTTGTGCCCTTTTGTTACGCCATAAGGTCTTCTATACCGGCCAAATCATAGTGATAAGAAATCTTAGCAGGAAGAGGCTTTCTCGTTTCCACACATTTACTTGGTTCCCATTGAAAGACAGCAAAGCTTTTAGCTGTCAAATGTCTTGTTCATGGCCTTCCTATCCTTCCCACATGACATTGGACCACATTCTAAGTCTTCGGCTATAGCTTTTCATTAACACCATCAAAATATCTTTGGATTGTCCGAAGTTGGAAAAATAAGATAATTACCTGCTTGACATGACACATTGGTGGCTCTTATTTCAACATGATTTAGATTGGTTGATATGTTACGATTAATTACTAGCAAAGACTTGCAAAGTAGCCAACAGGTCTCTACTTTTCAGCATGACAGTAAGTTCGTTAATCAGCATTATCCAACATAAATAAACCTTGGATGAAAAGTTTCTTAAACATTTTCGAGAAGAAAAAGAATGTAAATGTAATTTTCTTTTATTTACCTTTTTTCAGAAGTTTTTACTATTTCCTATCTGATTGGCCTTACAACATGAGAGCCAAAAAAGGCAATGATTAATTAGGGCCATCTTTACTCGCCAAAAAGGTTTAATTATGAAAACAACTTTTCATTTTCTTTGTCTGATGGCACAGAGGGGGGACCTCATCAGTTGGAATGTTCTATAGAATCCATAAAGTGTTACTCTGGCTCTAATTTTGCATTTGTCATTATTAGCTGCATGGTATATGTTGAGCATCCAACTTGCAACAAACTTTATATATGTAGCACTTTCATGTAGCCTACCATTCACAGTTTCACACTACCAAGCCAAGATGTTTCTCCACATTGTTTTCCTCCTTTCCCTTCTCTTATCCACTTCCCATGCTACTGTCCAAGACTTCTGTGTAGCAGACCTCAAAAGTGCAGATGGCCCTGCAGGCTATCCCTGCAAGGCATCTGCCAAGGTTACTTCAGATGACTTTGTATTTGACGGCTTATCTGAAGCTGGAAATGTCACAAACATAATCAATGCTGCTGTGACCCCAGCATTTGTTGGTCAATTCCCAGGTGTTAATGGTCTTGGCCTCTCTGCAGCAAGGTTAGACCTTGGTCCTGCTGGAGTTATCCCACTGCACACTCATCCTGGTGCCAATGAACTTCTATTAGTGGTTCAGGGTCACGTCCTTGCTGGATTCGTATCATCAGGTAACGTTGTTTACCAGAAGGTAGTGAAGAAGGGAGAGCTCATGGTCTTCCCACAAGGGCTGTTGCACTTTCAGGTAGCAGTTGGTAAGAGGAAGGCCCTTGCTTTTGCTATTTTCAGCAGTGCAAACCCTGGCCTCCAAATCCTTGACTTTGCACTGTTTGCCAGCAACTTTTCTACACCTTTGATCACACAGACTACTTTCCTTGACCCTGGCCTAGTCAAGAAGCTCAAGGGTGTTCTTGGGGGCAGTGGCTAGGCTAGGCCAGTCTTCTGGTTAACTTATGATCTATGAATTGTTTATTATTTTGCTTAATTCATTCCTTGTGTTGTTTCAATTCCTTAGAGTTGTTCAGGTCTCCTGGTCATTGAATTGCTCGTGTCAATGTGGAGATGCTAATAAAGTCGCGAGCTTCACTCTTGTTTTCCATTTCAATTCCAAAAGCTGAATGTATTGAGACTCACTCGAGTATAGCTTTGTCTAAAAGGGTTTGCCATTGTTAGTTGCTGAAGAACCTTATCCAAAGTTCCCTGCTGGATAAGTGTTGTGCTGTTTCTTTTTCAAAAAAAAAAGATGCTTCTTGTCCTTTAATAACAGTTGTCCTCACATCTCGTGATTGTGTTCTGTTCTGAGTCCAGTGAACTTAAACGTTTTGTTTCATTCATATATATTAACCCCTTAAAATTTGTGGTTAAGACCTACTTTGAGGTACAAAAGTGACTCGACTGAAGATTCCACTAGACTTATAAGGATTACACTGTTATATCTCTTATATGTAAACAATGTGGACAAAATGAGAGTAATTCAAAACATTTTCTCACCCTAGAAATAGATGTAACAGCATGCTGAAAGATCTAAAATAGACTTTCATAATAAACTGAGATAAAATAAATAGTTTCCTCTTTATAATATTCAACTATTTATACATACGTTTCTTTGTATACACAAAATCGGAGTCGTTCTCTAAAGTTTAAGGATTATAATGAAACTATGTAATAAAACTAAATAATATAGAGATAAGTTGTGGATTTATATATCTCTACTACAAAAGTTTATAACAATTATTATTTATCAATAAGAAATCATTTTAAGGAAACTAAAATAAAATAAGGAACTCGGAGACAACAAAGTAGAACTAGCACTCTCAATATATTTCAAAATTATCAGGTGATTTTTTATTATTATTATTTTTTTTTCATATTTCTCTGGTCACATGTTCAAACAACTGTGTTGGTTTTGTTTTATAAGATAGAGTACACATTGTTTTCGTAAGTGGTTTTTTTGCAATAAAATGAAAAGTATGCAATTATAAAATAGATAAGAAGAAAAGACAGATAAATAAAATATATTATACTATAAAAAGATAAAGATAAAAATGATTTATATGAATATTATTATTTAATTTTATTAAGTTATATAAAAACAATTTATATGAATATGGTAAAATAAAATATTTTATAAAATATGCATCCTACAAGTTCCTTAGTTACTGAATTTGCATTAAATATATTAAGTATATAATATCTCTTTGTTATAAAATTAAGTATATACAGTTAAATTCAAAACACAAACTCTTTTATTTCAGAATATTATTTCTAGAAAGAAAGAGTACACATTAATTTTTTGTAAAATGTCATTGAAAAATAAACAACTTTAGATGCACAAATCATTTTTTTTCTTTCTTTATCCAAAAAAACAAATTGGTTTTCTTAAAAATAGCGTACAAACAATTAAAAATATTTTTATTTTAAATAATAAAAAATATAAAATAATAATAATAATAATAATAATAATTATTATTATTATTATATAATACTGATCTGATCATGTATGAATCACTATAATTATTTTTATAATAATAATAATAATACATGATCCCATGTCAACCATTCCTCATTCTTTTGAGCCATTTTTGGGGGAGCTTTGGATCTAGCACATATAACTAATGCTTCAGATGAAAATTAATTGAGTAATTACTCTATCTGTAAAAGAAATTAATGAAAAATTCATATTTAAATTTTTTTTAATCCTACCATATCATTTAAAACATATATTAATCCAATACTTCTATTTGTCCTTAATAAAATTTTATGATTTTTATATGCATGGAGTGTGTAGTAAGGCTTGTTCTTGGGTTACATAAACAAAATTTATAAGTATGTTTCAAGTAAGCCTTTATTCATTAATGTCAAAATTATTGTGTTATAATAATCTATAATAAATTTAATTTTAATAATTAAAATTAATTTACCTTTTATTTGATTAAATTTTATATTTGAATTTAATAATTGAAAAAGTAAAATATATACTTTTTTTAATAATCATCTAATTACAAACTGCTATTAATTTTAATAATAATTTTTATCAATCATTTAAAAAAATATTAAATTGTTTACTTTTCTTTTAAAATTTCATACTCATTAAACTCTTGCAACATTTATTTTATTTTCTTTCTACTTAGTTCTTATTTTTCTATTTAAAATTTGCATATATTAGCTAATTATTATATTCTAGTAGTCAATGTTCAAAATTTTCCATATATACTATGAAATTAAACTTGCTTTGACTTGAGTTTGCCATGTGGGACTTGAATTCTACGTTACTGCTGCGTGGTCATCTCTTAGTTTAGTCGCCAACTTGTAAAAGTTGCCCTATAAAAAGCTAGCTAATCCCACACCACATTCACACCAAATCATTCATCGAAAATTCTAAGATGAAGATGATTAACATTCTTTTCCTTCTCGCTCTTCTCTCGTATACTTCCCATGCTTCTGTCAATGATTTCTGCGTAGCAGACCTAAAGGGTCCAGATAGCCCTTCAGGCTATCAGTGCAAGCCACCTAACACAGTGACAGTGGATGATTTTGTATTCAGTGGCTTTGTAGCTGGAAACACCACTGGCGGTTTCAATGCTGCCGTAACCCCCGCATTTGTCAATGAACTTCCAGGTGTGAATGGTCTTGGTTTATCTGTAGCACGGTTAGACATAGCCAAAGGTGGAGCTGTTCCAATGCACTCACATGCTGGTGCCAGTGAAATACTCATGATGGTGAAGGGTCAAATCACTGCTGGCTTTATAACACCTGCTGGAGTTTATCAGAAGACACTGAAACCAGGAGATGTTATGGTTATCCCACAAGGACTCATGCATTTCCAAGCAAATTCTGGTAAGGGAAAAGCCACTGCTTATCTTGCTTTCAGTAGTCCAAGCCCAGGAGCTCAACTACTTGACCTTCTTTTATTTGGCAACAACTTGCCTTCTGAGTTGATTGCACAAACTACTTTGCTTGATTATGCACAAGTGAAGAAGCTCAAGTATCGTTTTGGTGGCAGAGAATAGGATTGCTCACGAACATTCCTATGTTTGTTTCTAATCACAGTCAATAATAATGTTATGCATGTTTTTCATTGTATTTCCATTTTGATGTTTGAAGATTTCACAAAGGAGAGGGAGTGTGTTGGAAGTAGAGTAATTAAGAATAGTAGTAGATTAAGATCTACTTAAACTTGATTAGTTTGCTTATTTTTATACCTTTCATTGATTACTACTACTTGTGTTTTTCGAGAATGATGTCTGTTTTTAGTATCACTTGTACCAAGATGTGTTGTGTATTCAGTTGCAACTCAGCCAAATAAAGGGAGGAAGTCAAAATTTAAGGGCTTGCATGTTTGATTTACTTTTCATCATTTTGTTTTAACGTCTTTTTAAATGATTTTACTTGTAAATTACTCTAACACCTTATGAGGTCCTCTCAAATTATACAGACACTTAGTTTTTTAAAAATTCTACAAAAACCTTTCCTTTATTACACAAATTATACTATCTTTCGAATTGATAATTATTGAAACAAATGTACTTCAGATCCTGCCAGATTTAGTCAAAACTTTCCTGCTATCTTTTATAATAATTCTTATTACGTCCTCTTCAAGCCACTTTTTGGGGCTTTGGATCTAGCACACATAATAATACTTCAAGCTTCAATATTAATTAATTGTTAGGTCATGTTAAATACTCTTTCGAGTATAAATCTATAAAAAATAAAACAAAATAGAAAACTGAGGATGAAGACACAATTACCAAATCAACAGTAATGACTTATTAATACCTGTTTCTTGAAAGTAGTTACATATAACAAATGTTTCATAATTTAATATAATTTTGTGTATTTTATGCATTTTTATTAATGTTATAATATAATGTCTTTGAAATGATTTATTATATATCTGTTTGGTTTAGTGACTGCAACTATATTAAGCACCAAAAAAAAAACCACTATACGTTACCACCTAGTGTAGTGCCTTCATCATCAATTTGCTCGAAGGCCAGTTGAGGCAATGCAAAGCCTCAACTTAGTTGTTGTAACAGTCTTGGTCAACATATCAGCGGGATTCTCTGCACCTGGAATCTTCAACAAACTCAAGTCTCCATCATTTATCGGGTTTCGATAAAATGATACTTCAATTCAATGTGCTTACATCTCGGAATGAAGGATTGGATTTTTAGCAAGACAAATAGCACTTTGATCGTCACTAAACAACGGAGAACCATCTTGTTCTCTTCCTAATTCTTTTAGAAGGTTCTTCAACCATATCATCTCCTTCGCCGCTTCCGAGATAGCTACATACTCGCTTCAGTGGTTGAGAGAGAGACTCTTCCTTGAAGTTTAGACTTCCAACCGATAGCTGTACCACCCAATGTAAAAATATAACTCGTTGTGCTCTTTCTACCGTCAAGATCACCTCCCAAGTCCGCATCGAAAACCCCTGTAAAATGAGATTACTTCTCTTGAAAGACAAATGCATCTTTGAAGTGCCTTTCAAATATCTCGAATATCCACTTCACTCCTTCCCAATGCTCCTTTCCGGGATTTGATAGAAATCTGCTCACAACTCCCACTCGCATGTGCTATGTCCGGTCCGGTGCAAACCATAGCATACATCAAGCTTCCTACTGCAGATGCATATGGCACTTTAGACATGTGACTTTCTTCTTCTTCTGTTTGAGAAGATTGCCTCTTTGAAAACTTTAAGTGAGTTCCCAAAGGTGTATTCCTGGTTTTAGCATTCCCAACATTGAATCTGCTAAGCAAATTTTCTATATATTTTTCTTGAGATAAGTTCAAAATACCTTTATCTCTATCTCGGGAGATTCTCATACCAAGAATTTGCTTGGCTGGACCAAGATCCTTCATTTCAAAGCTCTCGACAATTGTTTCTTCAACTTGTCAATTTCTCGCCATATTAGCTCCAACAATCAACATGTCGTCAACATATAAGGCAAGAATGATATAGCTATCAACATATTTCTTCACATAACAACAGTGATCTTCTTCACATCTCGCGAAATCCTCGAGTTTCTCATAAACTCATTAAACTTCTTGTACCATTGTCTCGGTGCTTGTTTTAATCCGTACAAACTTTTATGAAGCTTGCATACAAGATTTTCTCCGCCTTGTACTTCAAAACCTTTTGGTCGTGTCATAAAAATTTCCTCTTCAAGATCCCCATGTAAGAATGCAGCTTTGACATCTAACCGCTCCAAATGAAGATTTTCTCATAGCCTACTATACTCAAGATAACTCGATGGTAGTCATCTTGACAACAGGAGAGAAAATTTCGTGAAGTCAATTCCTTGTCTTTGTTGGAACCCTTTCACTACGAGTCTAGCCTTATATCTTTTGCCGCCATCCGGTTCTTCTTTCAACCTATAGACCCACCTGTTTTGCAAAACTTTCTTTCCTTCGGTAGCTTGGTTAAAGACCATGTTTTATTCTTCCGAAGGGACTTTATCTCATCTTCCATTGCTAGCTCCCACTTAATAGATTCATCTCCCCGCATAGCCTCGACAAAATGCTCCGGCTCACCAGCATCGATCAACAACAAATAATGCAATGAAGGGGAATACCTTTGTGGTGCTACAATTGTTCTGCTAGATCTTCTAACCAAGATTTCGGAGTTGTCGACTCTACTATTTGTTCGGCTTCGTCTCAGTGCTCGACATAGGCTCTACTTGTATATTCTCGCCTTCGGTTGACTACATCACTTTCCGAAATTTCTTCTAATGATACTTGCTCTAGTCGTTTATTTACATTTGCAGATTCTCGCAATCTCGTCTCTATAGAACATGTTTTCATTAAAAGTAACATTTCTACTTCGATAATTTTCTTGTTTTGGTCATCCCAAAACCTCGTAGCCAAACATGTCAGATCCATAACCAATGAAATAACAACGTTTTGCCTTAGGGTCCAATTTATCTCTACTATTAGAGTCTAACATAACATATGAAGCACAACCAAAAACTTTCGGATGTGAAAGATTTACCTCTTTTCCGCACCATACTTCTTCGTGTAACTTATAGTCTAAAGGAACCGATGGTCCTCTCGTTTATGAGATAGGTCACTGTGCTTATTGCATCCGCCCAAAATACCTTGGGTAATCCTGACTGGATTCTCATACATCTTGCTCTCTCATTCAAGGTTCTGTTCATTCTTTCGCCACACCGTTTTGTTCTCGGTGTTCCTGGAACTGTCTTGATCATTCCGATCCCATTCTCTCGAACAAAACTCCTTGAATTGACTACCGTCATATTCTCCACCATTATCGACTTCAAACATTTGACCTTTAAACCTGTTTGAGTCTCAACCTCCTTTTTCCACCTTTTAAACACAGAAAACACATCGATTTATTTTTAAGAAAATAAACCCATACCTTTCTTGTAGAGTCATCAATGAAGGTTACATAATATTGTGAACCTCCAAGGGATTTCACCGAAGCCGGCCCCCAAACATCTCGTATGCACTAGTTCTAGTCTTTCAACTTTAGACGACTTACTTGTTTTGGAGAAGCTAACCTTTTTCTCGCTTTCCAAAGATACAATGTTCGCAAGGTCCAACGTCAACATGCTTCACGTTAGGTATTTTACCTTTTGATATCATGAGCTTCATTCCTTTCTCACTCATATGCCCAAGCCTCGATGCCATAAGGAGGAATTGTTGCCAACTTCTGCAACCGATATCATATCCTCATCTCGCAATCATGTAGAGAGATCCTTGCTTCTTTCCACGAGCAACAACAAGATTACCTTTCATTACCTTCCAATGTCCATCTCCAAAAGTGGTGTAATGTCCCTCATCATCCAACTGCCCTATAGATATTAAGTTTCTCTTTAAGGTTGGAATATGTCCGACATTATTCAAAGTCCACACGTTTCCATTAGAGGTTCCGATGTTAATATCACCTCTTCCTATGATATCAAGAGATTTTCCATCTGCAAGGTAGACCTTCCCAAACTTTCCAGAAACATAGTTAGATAATAGTTCTAAGGAAGGTGTAGTATGAAATGACGCACCTGAGTCCATAATCCATGAGTCAATAGAATTATCTAAACTACATAACAAGTGCATCTTCAACTTCATCGATTCGTCGCATTTGCTGATTGATCATCATCTTGCTTCTTGTTGTTGTTGTTGTTGTCCTTCTTTGGAGCCCTACACTCGATTTGAAAAGTGGCCCTTTTTCCGACAATTCCAACAAGTGATATCATTCCGGACTTTTGCTTGTGATCTCCCTCTGGATTTTGATCTCGCCTCGGCCTTGATTACGACCTTTCCGGCGACTTCTTCCTCTAGTTTCAGCACTCAATGCTCGAACTTGAATTAGAACCGAAAGATTCTATCGAATTTTTCTCGCGAACATCTTCGCTTAAGATCAAGTCACTGGATGTTATCAAGCTTCAACTTGTTATTGCTTGCGAATTACTAATCTGCAGTAACAGCTTGCACCCCAACTTTCCGTAGAGATGATAATAAAATTAATGCTTTCACCTCATCATCAAATATTATCTCGCACTGATGTCAACTGCGCAATAATTGCATTAAATTCACTAATATGATTAGTAACCGAGTTACCTTCACCCATTTTGAGGTTGACTAGCCTCGCGAATCAAATGCACTTTATTGGTCGCAGAGGGCTTCTCATACATATTTGACAACGCCTGCATCAAATCTACGGTTGTCTTCTCGTTCATGATGTTGAACGCAACATTCTTAGCTAATGTCACCGGATCACACCAAGCGTCCGCCGATCTAACAACTCCCATTCTGATCGCTCCATGTCGGTTGGCTTCACGCCCGTCAAGGGTAGATACAACTTCTTCTGATACGAGATAATCTTCCATCTCGCATCTTCCGAACCCGAAGTCACTGCCATCGAACTTCTCGATCCTCACCTTTCCTTCTTCTAATGCCATTGCTCTCACCGCTTTCGAAGAAAGCTCCCATCGCTCTCTAAACCGAGATTCCCAAGAAAAAGACCAAATCTTTTCCGATGTGGAAGATCAGACAAAACTGCAACCACAGAGCATACTAAGAAAATTGGCTCTTGATACCAATTGTTAGGAACAAGACAATAATAAAGGAAAGAATAAAGGAGAGAAAAATAAACGACACAAGAATTTTAACGTGGTTCAGCTAAAATATGTATGCCTACGTCCACGACTACACTAGGAAGTATTTTTATTTTCGTGTGTATCTCAAACTTTACATAGGGTTGCTTATATAACAAAATAGAGAATCTCATCTCACAATCCTAATCGATGTGGGACTAAATCAAGCACCATAATACTAACAGAGTCAAATATAATAAAATAAATATGATAATCTTTATATTTTCTAATTAAATTTTAAAAAATTATTATAATTTTCTATTTTTCTATATTTTCATAAATATGGATGGAATATATATTTAGATTTTATTATCTCTTCTAATTATTAGATTCAAATGACTTTTGAAAAAAATCATATATATATATATATATATATATATATATATTAATTAGCATATAAATAAATATAATTCTTATTTTATTAAAATTAGTTTTATAAAATTGAGATAAATATTTCACAAATTTATAATAATTAAAATTCAAAAAATAAATGGATACATGTAGATTCTTTATTCTAAAAGAAAAAGTTGGCGCAAGTGATCATTGACGTGTAAGGAATTACTTTCACACTCACGTAGACATATTCAGTCAATGTGGACCAACAAGAAAAAGACAATTATAAGAAAATGTAGTGTAAGTAGTATTTGTACTAATGTTCTGTAATTTTCTTTTTCTTTCATTTATATTGAATTTACAATGGGACTCATCATTTCATTCCTCATAAAAGAAAAGACACAAATATAATCTCATAGAAGAAAAATAATTCTTCATATCTATCGTTAATTGCTACCTGAAATATACGTCACCACCAACCAATGACTTAACAATTTATCTTAATTTTAATCAATTTCAACTTCACGATTCTCTATATATACACACACGATAATAACAAATAAGATGAACGTCATTCAAAAAAGATGTCCAAAGATAAGACTGAAATCTTCAAATAATTCTTCGGAACTCTGAATTGCACAATAAAATAGCCTTTGGCCAAAAGAATTTAATTGAACCGCACTCATAGATTTATGTTATTATTTAATTATAAATTACTAAGTATAGTAATTTATTTATTTTCATAATATTAATTTCAAAATTAATCTTTGATTGATGAACTAAATTTTTTTACCAACAATAATTGAAAGCAAAATCTTCAAAAATTATTTCTGATAAAATCTGATGTTGATAAATTAAATTGATTTATGATAATTTATAGCTAAACTCGAAATAAATAGTTTTATTTAACTATGAAGCAAAAGATTAAAATTTATTATCCTTAAAAAATAAGCAGTACAATTTATATACTTTATTGAATACATTAAAATTAATAAAAATTTCTCTCTACTGTTCCATTCAAATATCGTCACTGATTTTAATATAATAACTAGTTTATTTTGCTCGACGCAATTCATCTTACAAGTCATTCTAATAATATATAAAATGTAATTATACATTTCATTACTTCATGTTCAAGTTTGATCGAAGGATTTAAAGGCCACGTACCTTCAACTGTGTAAGAATGAATAGCTTTATAAATAGCTAGCCAACCTCACGTTACCTTCACACCAAATTCATTCATCAAAGTTCCAAGATGAAGAAGATGATTCACATTCTTTTCCTCTTCACTCTTCTCCTATCCACTTCCTATGCTGCTGTCATATGATTTCTGTGTAGCAGACCTACAGGGTCCTGATAGCCCTTCGGGCTATCAGTGCAAGCCACCTAAGACACTCACGGTGGATGACTTTGTCTTCTCCAGCTTTGTAGCTGGAAACACCACAAACATTTTCAAGGCTGTATTAACCTCTGCATTTGTTTATGATTTCCCAGGTGTGAATGGCCTTGGTTTATCTGTTGGACGATTAGACATAGAAAAAGGTTGATCGGTCCCAATGCACACACATCCTGCTGCCTCTGAACTTTTGATAATGGTGGCAGGTCAAATCACTTCAGGTTTTATGACGCCATTTTCACTTTTTACCAAGACACTGAAACCAGGAGATGTTATGGTTATTCCACAAGGACAATTGCATTTTCAAGTGAATTCTGGAAACAGAAGAGCCACTGCTTTTCTTGCTTGCAGTAGCCCAAACCGTGAAGCACAACTACTTGATCTACTATTGTTTAGTAATAGCTTACCTTCTGACTTGGTTGCACAAACTACCTTCCTTGATGTTGCACAGGTGAAGAAGCTTAAGGTTCGTTTTGGTGGCAGAGGTTAAGATTGTTCATGAATTTATCCCTCCCAAATGTTTGTTGTTAATAAGATATAGTCCATATGAAGTTGTGTATATCCTTGCCTGTTCCATTTGAAGGTTCCATCATGTACTTAAACTTGATTGATTTACTTATATATATATATATATATATATTGATAAACATAGAATATACATAGAATATGCATCGCTGTCATGCCAAGCTAAATATGGAAAAAAATAATCATGTAGAATCATGGCATGATACGGTATTTGTAATCGTATATTCTATGTATATTCTATGTTTATCACCCTCCCTCAAGATGGAGTATGAAGGTTATGAATGCCCAACTTGCCTAAAAAAGAACCAAATTTAGTGGCGCCAAGAGATTTGGTGAAGAGATCAGCCAGTTGATGATGAGTGGACACATAGGAGGGTTGGATATGATTGTGTTGTATTTCATCACGAATAAGATGACAATCCACTTCAATATGTTTTGTCCGTTCATGAAACACAGGATTCTTGGCAATGTGAAGGGCAGCTTGGTTGTCACAGTAGAGAGTCATAGGGTCGGTGTGAGTAATGCCTAGGCTCGAAAGAAGGCCTTGAAGCCATTTCAACTCACATGTCGTGTTGGCCATAGAACGATATTCCGCCTCGACGGATGATCGAGAAACCATATGTTGCTTCTTGGTTTTCCGGGAAACGGGGATTGACCAAGGAAAATAAACCAACCGGTGAGAGATCTTCGAGTGAGAGGACAATTTGCCCAGTCCGAGTCACACCAACCATAAAGACGAAGGTCACTCTCTCTTTTAAAAGCACACCACGACCGGGCTGCCCTTTAAATAGTGTACCACGCGAGTGCAGCCCGCCAATGCTCCTGACGCGGTTGGTGCATGAATTGAGATAGGACATGAACACCGTAAGATAATTCAGGTCGTGTAAAACACAAGTAAATAAGGCGACCGACGAGACGTCGATATTGACTCGGGTCGAGAAAGTAGTTTGCCATCGGCCAATGCTAAACGATGATTTTCTTCGATTGGCGTGGACACGAGTTTCCCTCCAAGCAATCCCGCTTCAGCTATGATGTCCAATGCATACTTCCGTTGACACAAGAAAATTCCTGTAGGAGATCTGGCAACCTCCACCCCAAGAAAGTATTTTAATTTCCCTAAGTCCTTCATATGAAAACATTGATGAAGATAATCTTTGAATTGCGCAATGTCTTCATGATGATTTCCAGCAATGACTAGGTCATCCACGTAAACTAACACAACCAGTTCGACATCTCCTTTGCGAAAGATGAACAAGGAGTGATCAGACGAAGAACGTTGAAATCCATATTGAACAAAAGCAGTTGAGAGCTTGGCAAACTAACACCGAGGAGCTTGACGAAGACCATAAATGGACTTGCGGAGACGACACACCATACCCTTTTGAGACACCAAGAACCCTGGCGGCATTTTCATGTACACAGCTTCCTCAAGATCGCCGTGCAGAAAAGCATTATGGACATCCATTTGATGGAGTTCCCAGTCTTTGGCTACTACCACTGCCAACACTGTCCGAATGGTGACCATCTTTGCCACTGGGGCAAAGGTCTCGTCATAGTCAATCCCCTCAACTTGGTGATTTCCCAAGACAACTAATCGGGCTTTGAAGCGTTCAACGCTCCCATCAGAATGATATTTGATTTTATAAATCCACTTGCAACCCAGAGGCTTCTTCCCTGCCGGTAGAGGAGTAATGTCCCATGTTTCATTACTTTGGAGGGCCTGAATTTCACTAGCCATGGCATCTCTCCATCTAACATCCCGAACAGCTTCAAAGAAATGCACAGGTTCTCGCTCTGATACCATGATAAAAATATTTCCGAAAAACCCTGTCTTGTATTGAATATGATAGCACAATATATACATGAAATACAGAAACATTCTAGGCTATAATTACGCTAACCATTATAGTCGGTATCCTAAATTTGTCTATTAACAGATATGAAATTAATGTGCATCGCTGTCATGCCAAGCTAAATATGGAAAAAAATAATCATGTAGAATCATGGCATGATACGGTATTTGTAATCGTATATTCTATGTATATTCTATGTTTATCATATATATATATATATATATATATATATATATATATATATATTACGCATCATATATAATTGTCAGAATACACCTGAAAGATCTCAACATGCAATGTTCTCTATAACTTTTTTTTCTCTCCTCGTTAAGGTGTCAGTATATATAAGTGTGCATGCATCATTTTCCATTATTTATAGTTAATCATAACTTTGGTAGTCATAGCAAAACAAACCAAAAGAGAAATAAAAGATCATGTGTAATGGCACATGGGTCACTGCAATGAGAATGCAGGCACAACACGTGAAGCATGGTATGATAGAGGGGAAAAGCTCAATCATTCATTGTTTGTTACGAAGCTATCTAAATATTTCTAAGGTTGTAAATATATATATTTGTATCTAATTGGAGATTGTTGGCAAAATTTGTAAGGTTGTAAGGACATATATATTTGTGATCAGTTGAAGATTGTTGGCAAAATTTGGGTCATGTATATATATGATACATAATTTAAATGTATTAGGACCATTATTTATTAAGCCAAATAATAAAGTCATCTGACTAAATTAAAGTTTTGGCTAAAAACATATGTCATGGAAATAAAATTGTAGACCATAGAGTAATTTCTAATTTGATGAGGGGCCAAATTGAAAATACTAAAACTTAAGTAATTAACCTAATTCTGGTTATTTTAAGGGGTCATGGTCCCCTTCTGGAGCACACATACAGAACGTAAGTCTCATTCCCATTCATTTCTTTCTATCTCCATCAAGATAGAAAATCAAGAGGGAAATACATGTGCTCTTCAGGTGGAATACCATAAGATCAAAATAGTGTTCTACAAAGACAGACATTATCATTATGACTAATTCAGTTACGCTTTCACATTCAGTTTACAACATGTTTATCAGTATGGGATTATATATATGTTTGATCATTAAAATCAAAATCAGGATCATAACAGTAAATTACTGACAATTGGTATCACAGCCGCCATATTTGATTCATGTTTTTGTTTTTAGAAATTACATTTAACAAAATTCAGATTCTGTTAAATTAAGAACCCTAGGTGGAGAATAATTTCCAATTTTCGTAAACCCTAAATTCAAATTTGGGGGTAAATTCCCAATTTTAAACCTAATTTCGAATTTGGGGGGTAAAATCCTCAATTTGCTCCTGGTCGCTGATCACAAGCCTGAACAAAGTGACAAGAAAAAAGGAAAAATAAAAATAATGAAGGGAAGCAAGAGATGGATCCAGGCCGTGACGACATGGGTTCGATGACAACCACCCAAGATGAAGGTCTTCCTCTAACAGTCTTTATGGGTTCGCGGAGGGCAAGAAATGCAGAGTCAACTTACTTTGGTCACGTTCCATGGAGTTAAGTAGGTCGTTTTTTGAATAGTAAGTGAAAAAGTTTAAATTTTAATCCAATCCCTGGATTTGATTCGTGAGTAATGAAAATCAAGCATGCAAGTAGGAAATAGAGGTTAGGAGACAACAGAGTTTAGTATTGTGTTGTGTCGTTGGGATCTGTGACACAAACGAACGAGAGAAGATGAGGATGAAGGTTTCAGTTGTTTTCAGTGTTGTGTTGGTGATTCAGTTTTGTGGTGGCGAAGCTGCGACATTTTCGGTTGATGGAAAGGTTTTGATTTTGGACGAGTCCAACATCGACTCGGCCATAGCCACCTTCGATCACGTCTTGGTTGACTTTTACGCTCCCTGGTGTGGCCACTGCAAGCGTCTAGCTCCCGAGATTGATAATTTAGATATTGAAGCGCGGGGCCCATGCCTGCAAGGGCTTATAGGAGATGTTAAATTTGGGAGTTGAGATTAGACTGATGGAGAAGCTTTTGGAAGTGGACCCCACTGACACAATGATGGCCATAGGAAATGCCCCTGGCCCTTCCCGAGTAATTGTTTTACGAAATGAAGTGATGGTCTCCGTGCCATTATAAAATTTTTTTATAAATAAATAATCAAATTTTGATTTTGTTATATAATATTCAAATTTTGTGGTAGTTTAATATTTTTTGAGCAAATTGAGTCAAGAAGTTACTAAAGTAACATCTCTTGAATTGGGTAGTTCGTGAAAAATATTGAATATTAGTGTTTGTGTATATTCATGCGAGTATTAGTCGACCCAAATGAAGATTAATATTTGGCCGAATTGCATATACACTTGTAATGATAAACATGTGATAATTATAAGGATTTGCTTTGTTGATGATAAATCAATCCAAAGACTGGTTTGTTGTTGGACGTGCTTTATTGTTAATATTTGATTATTACAACAAGATACCTCTAGCAATTAATATTACTGTCCAAAGACATGATATTGATGGTGCATTGAGTGTCTTGAGATGGGTTAAACTATTATTTGAATATTTATAATTATTTATTTTTTATAATGTGAGTATAATTAATTTATTTCTCTTGTTCTTAATTCAGCTACAATTGTTTCTGTATCTACCAATTTAAATTCGATTCCGATCCTCAAAAGTATGTTTCTTATTTTGGTTTGTTCTGAAGTCAATTTAGCGTCAATACCTAGTAACACTTGGTGGTTAGAATCAGGTGCAACTACTAACATCAGTGTTTCTATGAAGTGTTGCCTAAGCTACCGGAAACCAATTGATTCTGAAAGATGGATATATGTTGGAGATGACAAATCGGTAGAGGTGAAAGCTATAGGGCATTTTAAATTGTTATTGAGTACTGGTTTTTATTTGGATTTGAAAGACACTTTTGTTGTGTCGTCATTTAGACGGAATTTGGTTTCAGTTTCTTATTTGGACAAATTAGGTTATTTGTGTTCATTTGGAAATAATAAGTTTAATTTGTCTTTTAATTCAGATATTATTGAAACTGGTTCACTTTTGCCTTATAATAATCTGTATTTACTTGATACTGTGACCACCTATAATGAAACCCTTAATACAGAATCACGGGGTACTAAACGTAAAATTGATGATACTCACTCAGGAGCATTATGACACAGGCGCTTAGGTCATATCTCTAAAAATAGAGTTGAATGACTTGTGTTAAATGGAATCTTAGAGTCCATTGACTTCACAAACTTTGATGTTTGTGTTGAATGCATTAAGGGCAAACAGACCAGAGCGAAGAGATTATGTGCATATAAAGCTACAGACGTGTTAGAGTTAATACATACGGACATTTGTGGGTCATTTCCTACACCTTCGTGGAATGGTCAACAATACTTTATATTATTCATAGACGATTATTCACGATATGCATACTTATTTCTTATACATGAAAAATCACAATCTCTGGACGTATTCAAAACATTTAAAGCTGAAGTTGAAAATCAACTCAACAAAAGATTTAAGTCTGTCAGGTCTGATCGTGGTGGTGAGTATTATGGCAGATATGACGGGTTAGGTGAACAACGTCCAGGACCTTTTGCCAGGTACCTAGAGGAGTGTGGAATTGTCCCACAGTATACCATGCCGGGATCATCTAGTATGAAAGATGTAGCTGAAAGACGAAATCTGACTCTTAAAGATATGGTCAGGAGTATGATTTGTCATTCCACCTTACCGGAGTCACTCTGGGGAGAGGCGCTAAAGACGACAGTTTATATTCTAAACAGAGTACCAACTAAAGTAGCTACCAAAACACCTTATGAGCTTTGAACTGGGTGACAACCTAGTCTGAAGCATTTTCATGTGTGAGGATGTCCAGCTGAGGCAAGACCTTATAAGCCAAATGAAAAGAAATTGGACTTCTGAACAATAAGTAGTTATTTTATTGGTTATGCTGAAAGATTCAGGGGATATAATTTTTATGATCCCACATTAAAGACAATTTTTGAGACGGGAACTGCTACGTTCTTTGAGGATATTGAGTTTGGGGGGAAGAATAAAATCAGGAAATTTGTCTTGGAGGAAGAATCGTTAACAATTCTAGAACCGATTCAAACAGTTACTTTTGATAAAGTAAGTTCGGAACCTTCACAAGGCATTGTTAATGAACCCCTTACTCAAGATGATTTAGTTGTTCATGAAGAACAAACTCAAGATCCTCAAGAACCTGTGCATCATGAGCCAATAACCTTACGGATATCCACTAGAGAAAGAAGAAGTGTTATTTCAGATGATTACATGATATTTCTTCAGGAAGATGAGGAAAAAAATGGTATGATGGAAGATAACCTAGTTAACTTCCGTCAAACCATGCAAGGTTCTAACTCTGAAAAGTGGATTGAAGAAATGAAGGAGGAATATAAGTTCATGCAAGACAACAAGGTTTGGGAACTTGTCCCATTACCAGAAGGTATGAAACTCATTGGTTGCAAGTGGATATTTAAGACCAAACGAGATTCTAAAGGTAATGTGGAAAGGTATAAGACTCGTCTGGTAGCTAAGGGCTATACCCAAAAGGAAGGGATTGACTTTAAAGAGACTTTTTCTCCAGTTTCATCAAAAGACTCTTTTAGGACAATTATGACTCTTGTAGCACATTATGATTTGGAGCTTCATCAAATGGATGTCAAGACGACGTTTCTCAATGGCAACATTGATGAGACGATTTATATGGTACAACCAGAAAATTTTGTGCAAGGAGATTCAAAGAATATGGTTTGTAAATTGACAAAATCCATTTATGGACTAAAACAAGTATCTCGTCAATGGTACTATAAATTTCATCAAGTAATTCTCTCATTTGGCTTTGAGATGAATATTATTGATGATTGTGTATATCACAAGTTTAAGGGGAGCAAGTATATTTTCCTCATCTTGTATGTTGATGACATTCTACTTGCCACTGATGATATAGGCATATTGCACGAAACCAAGAAATTTTTATCAAAGAATTTCGAAATGAAAGATCTTGATGATGCATCTTTTATATTAGGAATTCAAATACACCTAGATCGATGTCGGGGTATTTTAGGATTATCACAAAGGAGTTATATCTAAAAAATTCTTAAAAGGTTTGGCATGCATGAATGTAAATCCGGGGATACTCCAGTTACTAAGGGAGACAAGTTTAGTCTCAATCAGTGCCCAAAGGGGAATTTGAAAATTGAGGAAAGGCAAAAGATTCCCTATGCATCAGCTGTAGGGAGTTTGATGTATGCCCAAGTATGTATGCGTCCAAACATAGCATACATAGTTGAGGTTCTAGGTAGATATTTAAGCAATCTAGGAATAGACCATTGGAAAACAGCAAAAAGGGTCATGAGATATTTAAAGAGAACAAAAGATTACATACTCACATACAGGAGGTCAGACCTTGGAGATCGCTGGGTTTTCTGATTTGGACTTTGCAGGATGTCAAGATAGTTTAAAATCCACTTCAGGTTACATTTTCATGTTAGCAGGTGGTGCGGTTTCTTGGCGTAGTGTCAAGCAAACCCTTACAGCTTTATCCACTATGGCAGCAGAATTTGTAGCATGCTATGAGGTGTCGAATCATAGAATATGGCTGAGAAATTTTGTCACAGGGCTGCAAATTGTGAAAGACATTAAAAGACCACTTAAGTTATATTGTGACAACAAATCAGTTGTATTGTATTCCAACAACAACAGAAGTTCGACTAAGTCAAAGCACATCAACATTAAGTTCCTAGTTGTTAAGGAAAGAGTACAGAGTGGACAGATTTCCATAGAACATTTAGGGACAAACTCCATGATAGCAGATCTTCTAACTAAAGGACTTCCGCTCAAAGTCTTTCATGAGCATGTTGCTCACATGGGTGTTTTACAGTTTGAGGAATTTGTGGTTTAGTAGGAGTTAGTCACTTTCATATATTTTATGTTAATTTCATATATGTATACATTTATTTTTTTGACATATTTGGTTATCTATAGATATGCGGTTTTTTCGTTCATTCATTACACTTTGTACATTAAGGATATTATATCAATCTCGATAAGTTAAAGTTTGGACCAGTTGAAAATAGACGTGTATAGATCAACTTCACGTAATTTTTCATGCTACACATTTCATGATGAATCCATGTCATTTGGTTATGTTAGGATGAGTAATCATTGTTGATTTTAATTATGATGATGCAATGAAAAGTTGGTTTGGTTCTATATCCTGATATGATTAATGGACAGGACTTTTGGAGTATGAATATCTAAACTATCATTCTAGCCAAAACTACAAAAATATAATATTAAGAAAAATACACATATGGTTGGAAAATCTTTTTAAATATTATTTTTCTATTATATTAATTCTTTTACGATTTTGTATATTTTATTAGTATATTTGCTATCAATTATATTAGTATTGATTATTCATATTTTTGATGTATTAAAAAATGTAAGATTATCATAACATTCGAAAATATGAAAAGAAAGTTATACATTAGTTTTATTATTTTTGTTTTCTAATATTATATCAGAGTTAAGAATTTAGAGTTCTAACTGTTAGATTTAAGGATGGAAGGTCAATATCTCAATGTAAGACAAGAGAAATTTGTTTAAGGAAAATTGTTGAATAATTAATAACGATTTTTTATTTTCAAAAAGGAACAATGACAAGGCTTAATGAATAGACACAAAATTTTGCTTTGTCACCCATGTGACATGTCTCAAACTAAGTCTCACCTAGTCTAAGTCTTTGCACGATCTGGTAAAATCCTTCCTTTGTTTAGTTCTTGGATGATTGATCTTGGAACCATTGATCATTTATTTCTTGTTTATCTCATTTTAATTGTTTTCATAAGATTAAACTCATGTTACATTATCAAATAGAAATAAAATTTTGCTGATTATTCTGATAGAACTTTTTAACTCCATACCATGTTCTTTGTGATGTCCTATACATTTCTTGGGACATTAAAATAAAAATTTTAAATATTAAAATTTTTTTAGAGTTTTGTTTCTTTAGTTCCACACAATTTCATTTTATTATAAAGATCATAAGAAATCATAATGGAACTGATTTAGTATCCATGACTTTTATGCTTCAAAAGAAATAATACATGAAATATCTTGTGTTAGTACACCTAAGCTTAAAGACATTGAAAAAAAAAATTGGTCAATCTAATTTACCAAAAATATACTAGTCTTGTGTCATTTTACATATAGCCTACATTATCAACATGTTACTTACATCTCTTTTAAAAAATTCCTCTTCACAATGTGTGTTCATTGGAAGAAGTCCACCGTTCTCGATCACTATAAAACCTGTAGAGATGCCAAGACCATTGACAATAGGAACCTCCGTCACTCTTCCAGGGTACAGTGTAGATTTCAATGGGACTGGGATGCTTAATTGAAAATTGTACTTGAATTCTTTTGCTGTCACTGTTTCCGGCGGCATGCAGTGATAGCCAGAAGGGCTATCTGGACCCTTGAGGTCTGCTAAGCAGAATTCTTGCAGATTAGAACCATGGCAAGTTGATGAAACAAGACCCCAAAACAAAACAATCACAATCGCATTCATCGTGGATTTACAACATTTGAGGGAATGTGAAACCTGCTATATTTATAACCACCATGTATTACAACTGTAAATGTAAGACCTTTTCTCTTTTAACTTCTACAAGGGATTTTTATTTAACATTTAATTAATCTCTTTCACAAAATATGTGGATGATGTAGTTTGTTTGTCTTAACGAAGAAGCAACATTATTTCAAAATCACTTGATGGCCTATTTTAAATTCCCTTTATGGCATATTGTACAGAATATTTTTGTACAAAAGTCAAATAATCTAATTTTTAAAAATAAAAACAATCAATTATATTAAAATTAAATTTATATTAATTAATTAAATATGTAATTAATTGATTATATGACTTAAAATCATGTTTTTATAATACGTGTTAATAATCGATTATGTTGGTATTTAATCGGACTTAATTGTAGACTATTACTACATGTAAATAATCGATTAAATATTTGCTAATTGATTATTTATGTTAGTTATAACATAATTTTTTTTATAAAAGGATGCAAACTTTCTTTTATCAAAATATCTTTTAGAAATAATTAAAACAATAATAAAAAATGTTGTGGATATCAAAAAAAGTATGTGATTTTATAAAAAGTTTTGAAGATCAAATTCAAAGAAAATGTTACTTGACTATAGGATGCATTACTCTATGAGTTTAAGGTGAGATCGTTTCTTAATTTTTTCTTATGAATCTTGTATTAAATTTTGATATAGGTGAGACTAGCTATTCAGTTTACCTTAAAAATAATAAGGAGAAATATTTTCAAGTATTGTGATCTTAATTAAAAATTGTTGTAAGTCAAGATTATTATATTAGGTTATAAACTTGTTTTAATGAAATACTCAGATTAAAGTTGTTTTGTTAAAATTGAATATAGATTCACAAATAATCGAATCAATATAAATATTCTCTTATTTTGATATTCTTATATTTTTTTAATATTGTCATAATTATTTTATATATAATTATCAGAAAAAGTTCTTTAATATTTGATTAGAATTGAAAAGATTTTGAAAATCCAATTCACCCTCATGAATATATTATGTTCTATCATTAACATTTTTATACCAATTTGACTTTTGTATATTAAAAAATAGTTGAAATTTAGCATATTGTGGTTTAGGTATATTTAAACAAATTTAGTATACAATTTAAACTCAACTAAATTAATTCTCGATTTTAGGTTATTGTATAGTTTTTACACTATAAAATTGTTAAATATTTTATAATAAAAATATTATAAATTTTTATATAATTATTTTCGTATTTATATTTTCAAATTTTTTATATATTTATGAATGAAATATATAATTAAAAATTATAATACAAATTTGTTGTCAATATTTAGATAAATAGAAATATACTGAAAAAATAATATCATTATTATGAAGGGGTGCTTTTAAGTTACTTACGGAGATGTTCAGAAAGAAAATAAAAAATTAAATAAGATATTAAAAAAAAGTTAGATTTGCTTTATTCATAAATAATATATTTATTGTTACCTATTTATGGAGAAAAAAAGATGTCAAAATGGGTCAATTTGTCCCGTTTTAGCTCGTCAAAAGTGAGGCGGGACTGGACTAGTCCACTATAGTCATGGCGGGTTACAGGTCTCGGTTTAGCATCGCCAAAGAACGGCTGACCCGTCATATTTCTTATTTTATTATTTTTAAATTAAATATTTCAATAGTTTTAATAATAAAATTATTATTGTCAACAATTCTATATATATATATATATATATATATATATATATATATATATATATATATATATATATATTCAAGTTAATAATATTATGAAGAAGGATGAGTAAGAAGAGAGGAGAGAGAAGAGTTTGTGCTTGAGAAAAGAAAGTGTTTACCGTAAATTTAAGTAGTTATAAAACATTTTGAATTCTCTTAATAGTGAGATAGTGAAACTTTATGAATTTACTTTTTGAAACATTAAAATTTTTAGAAATATTTTTTTATAAATTTTTATATTATATATTGGTTTTCTGACTCTTTATATTGTATTATTACAATAAAAAATTATTAGTAAAACGCACTATGATTAACCCGCTCCGTAATTAATATTTGTTTTCTTAATAAGACGTAGCATACTTTGAAACAAATAAAATATGGTTATTATTCTTCTACCCATATAAATCATATAAAGGCTGGAAAAAAAATTGTGTATATATAATTTACTTGTGTTGAATTCTGGTTGAAGAAGCACTACTAATTAATGAGGTTTTATTATATAGCGAATTAAGTTTGAATTTTGGTTAGAAAAAAATGCACATTGAATTTGTGATGTGGTGCTATTAATTGGGTGCCCCTCATCTATGGGACTTTATTAGGGTTCTTAGTTGCGTCGCTTTATTTTTTTAAAAATAAAATTTTAATTTTTTATTTTATTTAATTATAATCATTAATTTTTACAACGTAGAATCATTAACTCGTTATTAGTTAACGATGAAGTTGTTCATAATTAAGCATGTTTGAATAGGTTAAGTTAATTACTTTTTATGTAAGGTTTGAATTATACTAAATATAATTAGTTAATAAGATATCTAACTTTACCAATCTCTTTATTTTTTGAACACGAATACACTTTATTACTTTATTTACTTCACATTGTCCTTTATTTCTCATTCAGACTAATAATATGTGTAAGATATCTAACTTTACCAAATCTCGTTTTTTTTTACAACGTTTAATGCGAAGTTTTGTATCATACGAGTATTTAGTTTTTCTATATCATAAATATTTATTTTATATGATTAAAATTGATGATAAAATAATATTTAGCAAACAAGTCATTAGTTAATGTCCAGTAGATCAATTAGTGAACACTTCATCATTTAATAGTTACTGATGTCATGAAATGACTCAATCCATCTCACAAGACAAAATATATGTATAATAATTACAATTCAAAATATTAACGTAAAAAAAAATGTTGTTTTATTACATACTGAAACTAAAAATTAAATAAAAATTGAGATTTATCTATGTATAGAGATGACTAAAAAGTCAAGTGACGCAGAAAAAGAATTTAAAATGAAATTAAGAAAATAGAAAGATTTTTCAAAAAGATAAAGAATATTAAGTATATAAGATAATGAGAGAAAATATTTTTTTCTAAAAATCATATTTGCATAAAAAAAGAAAAACATGATGAATAAAAAACACCAAAATTTCTATGCCTTGCTTGTATTGTCATATAACGTGAATCAAATTGTAATATAGAATGTATAGAAATTTTATTTATTTGTTTAGGTTTGAGTTTTCCTGTTTTCGATCATTTCTGATTTATATTATTTTTAAAAAATAATTATATTTATAATAAATTAATTTTTAAATTTTTAATATATTTTTATAAAAATAAATATTTATAAATTTTAATTTTAATTATTAATTAAGTATATATTTTGATTTATTATATTTATATATATAAACAAAATTTTAATATTTTTTATACGAATATAAAATATTTATAATATTATTATTACTATTATTATTATATATTATAAAACTGTATTTAACTATTTAATTGTATATATAATTTAATTATTTTTTAAGTTATTATTTTAAAATATTTATAAGTTAATTCGTGTTTAATTAATTCAAAGTGATAAAAATTTAATCATTAATTATTTTTAATCTTTCAAAATATAATTATTTTATTAAAAAAATTGATGTATAACAAATAAAATTAATAAAATCTAAAAATATAACATAATAAAATCTAATAAATATAAATTTAAAATAAAATAATATTAGTTACTATTTAAATTAATATAGAATATTTATAAAAAGATAAAGAAAAAAATTTTAACTTTGTATTTATCAAATTCATTAAAAAATGGGAAATAATTAAATTGATTAAAGAGATTAAGAAAATATGAGGAAGAAAAATAGAATAATATAATGAATTGATTGATGTAAAAATTTAAAAGAGGTAAAAGAGTGAAAAGTGAGCAAAAGAAAAAGAAAAAATATGAAATATAAAAAAATAACTTATATATAATATGAAAAAGAAAATGAATTATTTTAAAATTATTAAAATTTTAATATTTAAATTTAAATATAAAGTTGAGACAGGGTAGAGATTAAATTATCCACCTCTACCTCCGTCTCGATTAACTCAATTGTCTCTCGTTAGACTTAAAATAACAACAGATCAATTTTTAGAGGGATAAGTTTAATTGTTATCCCTAATTAATAATACTAGATTTAAGGGGAGTTATCCAATTAAAAAGTTAAAATTTTTATATATAATAATTATTTTTATAATTAAATAAAAATCATTTTATAAATATAATTAAAATTATTTTTTATCAAATTTTTATTTATAATAAATATTATATTTATTTTCTTGTATGATTTTCCAAATACACTTTTTTTCGTTCATCTTTCTATCTTTAAATTTTCATTTTTGTTTTCTTCTTTCATTTCACTTACACATATTAACTTTTTCTATCATAAACTCACTCTATTTTATTTACATTTTTATATATTCTTTATTATTAATTCATTTTCATATTCTTCTCTTAAATTTTGTAAGTTTTTTTCTTTATCATATTTTTCTTCTTTATCATTTCATTTTTATAGTATAAAAGCTGTAAGTTTTTTGTTTTTTAATTATTTTTTCCTATTCAAAGAGATTTTCCGAAATTGTTACCGATTCTTCCTCCAAGACAAAGTTCCTAATTTTATTCTTCCCCCAAACTCAATATCCTCAAAGAACGTAGTTGTTCCCGTCTCAAAAATTGTCTTTAATGTGGGATCATAAAATTTATATCCCCTAGATCTTTCAGCATAACCAATAAAATAACTACTTACTGTTCGGGAGTCCAATTTCTTTTCATTTGGCTTATAAGGCCTTATCTCAGCTGGACAACCCCACACATGGAAATGCTTCAGACTAGGTTGTCGCTCAGTCCAAAGCTCATAAGGTATTTTGGTAGCTGCTTTAATTGATACTCTTTTTAGAATATA